AAGCAGAGCACAGAGGATTTACAGGGCAGTGAAGCTACTCTCTATGATACTCTAACAGCAGATATATGTCGTTACACATCTGTCCACACCCATTGAATGTACAACACCGAGAGTGAAACATAACGTAAACTATGGACTTTGGGAGATTGTGATGTGCTGGGCTGAGCTGGGGTTCAGAGATTGGGGTGGGGGGTCATGGCTCATAGAAACCGGTAGAAGGCACCTTTGAGTCATCTGGTACAGTCATTCTCGTTTCTGGTCAGCATTCCCGAGAAACTGGACACAGGCCACTATTGGGTTCCTGGAACACGTGACCCAAATTACCTAGGGATGGAGCTCAAACTCCTGTATTTTAAGCAAGCTTCCTGGGTAATAATGTTACCCAGGGTAATCACCTAGAGCAGTGGTCGGCAAACTCATTAGTCAACAGAGCCAAATATCAACAGTACTTCTTCAAAATAGACTCGCCCAGGCCCAAAACCGACTTCTGCGCATGGGCCACGAAGTTTCAATCGCACTGTACATGTGCCCGCACATGGTATTTTGTGCAAGAGTCACACTCAAGGGGACAAAGAGCCGCATGTGGCTCTCGAGCCGCGATTTGCCGACCACGGACCTAGAGTAAAAAATCCCAACAAAACTACAAGATATGCAATAAAAGAGGAAAGGAAGTGGGGTTCAAGGTCACTGCGGCCTTGGAGGATTTGCACGTACAGCGCGACTGAAACTTCCTGGCCCATGCGCAGAAGTCGGTTTTCGGAAAGGAGAGAGGCGAAACAAGCATACAAGACGAGTGTGGAGGGAAGAGTTGAAAGGGGTCGACCTCAGTGAACATACCTCAATCAGATTGAGGACGTTTTTAGCAAAGGCCAGCTTAGGAGTACCCTAATTAAGTTAATAACAATGTACCTACCTACATAGATTAAGTTTTAAAAACTTGGCTCTCAAAAGAAATTTCAATCATTGTACTGTTGATATTTTGCTCTGTTGACTAATGAGTGTGCCGACCACTGCTCTAGAGCTACCAGCAGCCTTGCCAAGAAGATCCATCTGCAATAAGAGAAGATAATGTCCAGTTAGTGCTATATTCCCAGAAAATCAAGAAATTATTGTTTACTCTGTTTTTATGATAGTTGGTAATATATAGAAAGCCTCATTCTTTCTTAAAATATTTTCTTGGATTCTTAAGATACTTAAAATCATCTCCCTAACTCCCCCTTTTCTATAGAATCATTGAGGCTGGTTGGTATTTCTCAGTTGGTTGAGTGTCGTCCCGTGGAACAAGAGGTCGCAGGTTTGATTCCCGGTCAGAGAACATGCCCGGGTAGTAGGCAGCTTGCAGGAGGCAATCCATGGACATTTCTCTCTCATTGATGCTTCTATCTCCCTCTCCCTTCATCTCGCTCAAAAATCAATAAAAACATTTTAAAAAATGAAATTGTGGTGATGTTCTGTGAAAGAAGCAATCAAGGAGCTGAGGTGGTGATAGTGGAGAGGAGCCACCGCACGTGGGCAGTGAGAGGGGTTCTGAAGAGGTGACATCAAGAGCTGGGAGCAGCTGGAGAGGAGAGTCATGGGCAGAGAGAATGGCTTATGCAAAGCCCAGAGCAGGAAAGAGGTCAGAATCCTCTGGAATAGAAGGAAGAGAGGTAGGGGCCAGCAGGGTCAGGTAGGAGATGAGTTTGGAGAGACAGTGATCAGATGACACAGGCTCATGTAGGGCACGGTAGGACTTTGGGTTTAAGCTGAGTGACACACCTGCTGCTGCATTGAGAGTAGAGTGGATGGAGCAAGTGCTCCAAGGATGAGGCTGGTGTGTGTGTCTCCTGACACTGGCTGTGCCACCTCAGGCACGGTGCTTAACCTTTCTGGGCTTCACTGTTGCCCACGCATGGGGGTAACGGGAGGCAGATTGTGTTCACTCTCAGGACAAACTCTAACTAGATGGAACAGACAATCTTAAGAGGTAGTGAGCTCCCCATCATTGCAAACATTTGAACCAAGGCTGGCTCCACCATGAAAGCACTTGGGCACCAGAGGATTGGGTAGAATGGCCTTTCTGGTTGCTGACCCTGACCTTCTGTGGACTACAATTCTGGTCTCATTTTTGTCCTTGTCTTGCTGGGTGACCTCAGGCTGGTTACTTCCCCTCTCTGAGCCTCAGTTTCCAAATGATGACAGAAATAGGCTGATGATCACTATAGATTCTCCACCAGCAAATTCTCTAATTTGTCTATTCTCAGTCTTCACCTTACCCCCCACTCACAAAGGCCATCGTCTTGGCAGCTGGAGACACCATGACAGCCTGGTCTTGGTCTTGGCAGAAGGTCCTCCCATATCCACACATTTCAATCACAGCATCCTGGGTGACCTTTGAGTTGGAATTCTCTCTGCCCATCCCAGAAAGGGGTTGTTATTTTCTTTGGAGTCTCCTCAGATGGCCCCGGAAACAGGACTTGCTTCTGTGCCCAGCCTCCCATTCTGCAGCTACCAATATAAGGGCCACCACCACCCAGAAGAATCCCAGGAGACCGTGCAGGAGAACAAGGATTCGCGATCATCCTCCTCCAAACCCGTGAGTGGTGGGTTTGCCTCTGACCACACCCCACAGGGAGGTCTTCAGAAGGCTTTGGGGGCTAGAGACAGAGGACTAGGACAGCTTGGATTAGCTAATATGTTGAATATAGCAAATTCAGAGAGAGAGAGAGAGAGAGAGAGATGATAGAAAATTATATTCAGAGAAGTGTCAAACTGATGGGCAATGCAGGGTCATGATATAGAGCCCATTTATTTGTTCATACTTTTATTCAGCAGAGAGTTATTCATTGAACTGTCCTGACTACAAGGGTTTTACTGGGGGCTGAGGATTTGACAGTGAAATGTCACCGTTCCTCCTCTAAAGAGTTCACAGCCTGGTGATAGAGGCAGACAGGTCTCCAGTAATTGGCACCCAGGACTCTGAACAGAGAACGAATGCAGAAGAAACGGTGGGGTGAAGCTCCCTAACCTAGACTCTCGAGAGGGGGCTACAGAAGGCTCCATAGAGGACACGATGTCTTACTGAAGCCAGAGAGTCAATAGGTTAAAAATGCAACGAAGAGGAGAGATGTTCCAGGCAAAGAAGCCAGCATATGGCAAAAACCTTTGTGTAAAGATCATGAATTTGTAGTCAAGTGTGACTTTTCAAATTGCAGCTTGTCCACTCACTGGCCGTGTGTTTCTGGGCAAGTTGCTCTAGCTTTCTGAGCTGGGCTGCCCATCTGTGAAATAGGAGATAGCCACCTCTGTCTTAAAGGACTGTTAAGTGAAAGAGGGGGAGGCGCTCACTGAAAACTCCACTTCCCTCTGGGTAATTCTCACTCCTGTTTCTCCTATGAATGTCCAGGTGTCAGCACAAGATGTTTCAGCTTTGGAAACTTGTTCTCTTGTGTGGCCTGGTCTCTGGGACCTCAGCGGGCATTATTCACGCACTTGGCGAAGGCGTCGGTAACATTGTATACGGCCGGAAAACTGCTGTTGATAATGGACTTGGGGACATTCCACGTGAGTCAATAAGGGTGATGATAGGCAGCATCCAGAACCTGTTTCCTAAACATTAAGCTGCATTTCCAGGGGCTGCCACCAGGGGCTGCCTCTTGTGGATGGTTTACTAGGAAAGGTGGTTAGTCACTTCCTGGCTCATTTTCTTTCTTCCTTTCTTCCTTCCTTCCTTCCTTCCTTCCTTTCTTCCTTCCTTCCTTCCTTCCTTCCTTCCTTCCTTCCTTCCTTC